GTGGCGCTGACTGGGCAGTTACTATTCATCATCTTCTTCCTTGGGCAGAAGAAAAAAAATTGTCATAACTTCTTCGTTTTAGCTTTGTTTGGCCTCCGGAAAATTGCGTTGAATTCGTATCGACGCAAGGAATCTAATGAAATGATCAAAACGCTCCGAAGATCACGTTTTCGAAAAACATAAATCCGGGTTGAAATTTTCAGTGTTCCGATATTTCTCGATGAACACAGAATCCAAGGCTCTGATACCACTTGTTGTGATTCTCGGATCAATATGAAGATTATTTGGGAGGAAAAACAACTCTATTTCACAAGAATAGAATTACAAAGAATTTACACCAAGAATTTCTCTCTACAAAAAAAAACCTCACCAAACTCTCTTTTTGTTCTCACAATCTCTTCCTGGATTGTATTTCAATCTCTCTGGATTGATTTTTTTGTGTAAAACATAAGGCTCTATTTATAGCCTTAAAAAGAAGGTGGTTGGTGGTTGAATTCTTCATTCAACAATGGAGGCTTCAACAATGGTGGCTTCTAGAATGGGTTGGTGGCTTCAACAATGGTGGACTTCTAAAATTGGTAGTTGGCAGCAGCTGAACTTATCACATCGGAGAGGGAGCAACTACCAAGTCGGGCGATGTTGCGTTTAATTAGTGATCGACTAAGAGTGAAAGTAAAAGAACTTGAAGAAGAAAGGGATAAGTTAAAACATAAATTGAAAGATGTTAAAGTGCAAATGGAGTCTCTAGCAGTGAATTGCTAGGAGGCTGAACAACAGAGGGATTGGGCAAGAGCCAAATTCAAGATGCTTGCGTTTTTTTGTATTTTCATGTGTATAGTCTGGATTATGGTCGTGTAGTTCCGTGTAGTTTTATGCACGGCTAAACTCGTAATGGACTAGACATTTGTCTTATGTATTGTACTAGTGGAACAATGCAAGAACTCAAATTTAACAGGCTCCATATTTGGTCATACATTCACGTAAATAACTGTTTTTAATGGTCTTATGTATTGATTCCTTACTGTTTTAATGGTCTTATGTATTGATTCCTTACTGTTTTTAATCCTGGCAATGCAGCTATCTTGATAGTAGATACCATTTCTTGAATTAGTATACAGACAGAAAAATAGAAGCTCCAATCAATCTTAAACAACCTAGTTCAGTTCTTTCACCAACGAAGTCAATCAACTCATACAATTTTAAAACCCCGCTCCTTTTGCACTTCAATCCTATTCTCAGCTCCTTTGAGCTCTATCCTTAGGAATTATCGTGTAGTTTCTTCACCTTGCAATTCATTTTCTGCCCAGAACTACAAATTCTTTCTACCTTTTCTACATATATTTCTTGTATCAAGCACACAAGATTACATAGAAATAAAATATCATAAATAGAAGCTCATACACCAACAAGGATTACTATTAAACTGCTCTCAATTGAGCTCAAATGTAACGCTGCAACTCCAACAAAATGGTACCAAAATCACAAGTGCTCCATAAGTTTGCCAGCATTAATACAACGGCATAAAGACCTAAATTAACATCATCCCTAGACATCAATATTGTTCAATATTACATAGACAAAAAACTAAAACAATCCACTTTTAGAACTACTTCTTGGTTGTTGATGATGAAGTATTCACTTTATTCCTTTTGTTGGCCTTCATTTGTTGCAATTCTGAGGTGGTGATTGCATCTTTTCCCTTCCATTTCCGGCCCCGTGGAACAAAACCAATATCAATATTGGTTGGTGAGGCACTCTTCATAGTTGAGAATCCTTGTAGAACTCTCACTTGAGGTACCAGGCTAAAAAAAAAAGGCACAAGAATTATTAATAGTAGACCAAATGTAGTAACTATTTGTTCAATATGAAGAAAAAAAATAGAAGTGAACATACATTAAACACTTGATTTCCAGTTTGAGGGTCAGAGTATACACCAAACCCAATAGTTCTAGGCCTTTTGTTTCCTCCAGTTGCAGAGCAGCACTTTCACCACCTCTTCTACCTTTCCCAGCACCTCCCCTACTTTGGTTAACTCTTCTAACAGCTACAGTGTCTCCACAAACAGAGGTTGGTTGGCTTGGTTGACTAGGTTGGGCATTTGATTCTCTGGGCTGTGAAGAATCCCCCACTCCAGACTACAACACACAACAGAACATATGTAGATAGAATGTATAAACATGTAAGACATGGAAAAAGAACAGTGGGATATATATGTAGATAGAATGTATAAACTTACTCCTGTTTGACACACTTTTCTGTTGTGGCCAGTCTATTTGCATTTTGAACAAGTCATTTTGACACCCTTCTTTGATAGCTTTCCATACTTCTTTTTTCGTTCATCCTTAGCCTTTCTTCTACACTTTTTAGGCCTCCCTGGCATTGGCTTTGGCAGAAGAGGCTCTATTGATGGATTTGAGCTTTCAGGCCACATCTTTAGATTGGGAATAGGTTGAAAGTAGTAACTGTAGGCCTTCAAAAATGTATCATTCCTATACTAATGCTCTACATGCTCATCAGGATCTAAGTTTAATTTATAATAAGCATAAACTGCATGGGGGCAACGAATACCTCTTAGCTGCCATAGCCTACAATTAAAGTCTTGTTTCCCAAATGAACTCTAAACCTATATCCATTGTCTAGAATTTCAAAACCAACTTGTGCATTCCACATAACTTTACACTTCTTAGAGTATTCTTTATTTTCCTCTAGTATTGTTCTTGCCATAGGAGAAATATCTGTAATCCTTTAGCAAAATTGATCATATCCACATGTCTGTTCATTAGTTTATGCCTAATTTCCTCTAACATGGTGATAATAGACTTATGCCTAGCAGCTAAAATCCAAGAATTGAAAGTCTCACTCATGTTGTTCTCAACAATATCACATTTGGCATGAACTTTAAAATATGCCCTACACCATGTTTCCTTTGGATAATGTAACAAATCCTCACATATTTCCTTCTTACCTAATTTACTCAATGCTTCAAAGCTAGAAGAACTGCTTTCTTCTAGCTTCTCCTCTCCATTTGATATGCCAGTTACTTCAGATATGCCTAGCAAACATTCTTTGCTCTACATTTGGCAATAACTCCATTATGGCAGGAACAATTCCCTACAAAATAAAGTACTTAGAAGGTTAGAAAGTTTAGAAGAGTATAATCAAAAGAAGAACAGAAAGTTCATATGAATATAATCAAAAGAAAATCAGAATGTTTAGAAGTGTAGAAACAAAAGAATAACAGAAAGTTCAGAAAGATTACCTTTTGCATATCTGACATTACAGTCAAACCTTCACCAGTACCCAAATTTAAGTTATCAATCAAATATCCTAAGAACCAACTCCAGCTATGTTTTGTTTCTTGATCCACTACTGCCCAAGCAATAGGAAACATTTGATTGTTTCCATTCCTTCCAACAACAGCAAGAAGTTGACCTCCACAAGCTCCCTTAAGAAAACAACCATCAAATCCTATGATTTTCCTACACCCATCTAACCATCCTTTCTTGAAGGCTTCAAAGCATACATAGAAATATACAAACAAATTCTTCCCAGGATCAGTCTCTCTATCAATTTTAACCCAGCATGAGCTTCCTGGATTAGTTTGCTTGATGATGTTTGCATAATCACATAACCTTGAGAATTCCAGCTTCCAATCACCCATATTTTCCTTCAGAACTTTATGTTTTGCTCTTTGACACACAGTCCTACCAACATAAAGACCCAACTTGTCTCTAACCAGCTCTTGAATTTTCCAAAGCCTTATATATATGGCTGGGAAACTATCCTATCCTTGAACTTTCTGGTAATAAGGTTAGAAGTGCAAAGCTTATTTTTGTTAGTAGGTAAACATTTATGTACATGATGATATTTAATGACTCTAAAATCACCAGAGTCTCTATCCAAAGAAGCAGCCAACAGTCATTTACATGTACTTGTTTTACACTTAACCCTTACCCTATGAGGCTCATTAGGTCTTAGTTTAATTTGCCTCCTATACTCAACAACATAATCTGCCACAGTCTTTCTAAACTGTGTTACATTCTCAAATACCATACCAAGCTCAAATACAGCCACCTCACAAGCTTCATCATATCTTACTTTTTTACTTCTCCTCCTAGAGGGTAGAGATCTACTCCTCTAACAGCATCTAGCTCCTCCCTGCTATCATCACTCCAACATTCAGAGCTACTGATATACTCTTCATCTCCCCACAATTTTCCAGCATATTTGTTAGCCTTGTCTACCCCAATATCCTCAAACCCTCTATCTATACCACCAGCCTCTCCAACAGGAATCTCTTCTGTAACATGAGCTTTTTTCTTCTATTTTTTATTTCTTTTGTCTTGTCTAAGAGTTCTCAACTCCTCATCTACATCTGAGTCATCCTCTTCAGGTATATCTTCCAGATCTGAATCACTACTCTCCACCTCTGAAAGATGACTTTCTACATCTAACACACCAGTGCAATTACCTCCCAAACTTTCAACTGCCTCTTCTACAACAACTTCTTGTAGGTTAAATGACTCACCATCTCTGTTATTTAATAACAAATTTTCATTCTCTCCAGTTAGGTAGCCAGTAGGTCCCTCCCCATCTACAGGTAAAGCATTGTCAATAACATGTTTAACCCATATTTCAAAGTTATCTCCATACTTTAAGTCTTTTATTAAGTCTAATAGGTGTAGGTCCGACTCCACCAAGTGAAATTGTTTGGTCTCACTATTCTGATAATAAAAGCCCTCGACAGTTGCATACCCTATTTCTTTAGTATAAAATTCCAGCTCCGTAATAGAAAAGTGGTCCTTGTCCAGATACATACCTGCTAGTTCACTCTCACCAACATAAGTGGGGACAGGAATCTCCGAAAAGTAGCCCCCATGGTGCATTTTTGTGAATATAATTTCCTCTGACATTTGAATCAAAGCTGAATAAATGAATAAGAGATAGTGACAGAACGTGGCTCGAAATTAAACATATTTTCATGAAATCGAAAAGGGGATATAGGAAATTAACGGAATATTCTCAAACCCTGATCCCCAAATCATGAAGGTAAAAACCCTAACTTTTCAGACATATTTGAATCGTTATTTTTCATCAACGAGAGAAATTGATACTTACAGTAAGTATCTTCTGCATAAGAATCCAGGAATTACCAAAAGTTTCTTTAATTTTTGTTCTTCGATTTTCCTTCCAGTTCGTTAGAGAGAGAAGAAGAAGAAAACAGGCGTTAAGTGGAATTACAGATATACGGGCGTTAAGGAGGAATATACTAGGGCTTTTTTTTTGCATTGTTTTTATTGGATATATTTTAATTATAATGCCACCGTGGAAAAAATAATACAGCTTTTACATTTTGATTGGTTGTTAATACACGTCAGCGGCGTTTGGTTACACGCGATGAACCTCTAGCACAGAAAGGAAAAAAAGTGTTTATTTGAAACAAATATGTGTTACATGAAGTGTTCAATCGGAACATACCTTTAATAAGGTGTCCAAGAGGAAAATCACGACAAGTTTAGGTGACGGTACATGATTTTCGCCTATATTTTAACATAACATAAAAATGGTTCCGAAAAAGATTTAACATAACATAAAAATGGTTCCGAAAAAGATTGACTTTTATAGTAAAGTGTTGTTATATATGGATGTTATAGAGAAGTCTAACTGTATAAGCAAAAGAGAATTCTCGGAGTAGGACCTTTAAAGAAGGATACTACACTTTGGTACTGGTTTTGGGGAAAATTGTAATCAAACGACTTGAAGTTTCAGTTCTTTATTCATTCTAATTCAATTCTTAGCTATCAAAACGTGCAATTTAAAGAAATTGCACCAGCACAAACACTTTTTTCTCTATTATAAGGATTAACTAGTAATCGTACCCGCGCGATGCGCGATTACTATTAAAAAATATTAATTAAATTAAATTATGAGCGGGCTTATTTGAACATATAAGATCGTATTGCTTTAATATATTTCAATTGCCGAATTAATTGTCAATATAATGTACCCAATAATAAAATCTCTATTAAATTAAAGAGACTTATATAGTCACTGAATAAATTTTTCGTTCTATATTTTTCTTTATTCTATTATCAATGTTTAGTATTTTTACATTTTTAATAGAGATGTTTAGTAATTCAATTCTTTATTCTATTAAATTTTTCGTATTGCTCGTTTTTTTGTAATATAAGAGAGGTTATATATTTTATTAATCTTAAAATATTTTTTATTTTAAATTTTATTCTGTTGTTATCAATAATATTATTTGAATTTTAATGAATAAAATCTCTATTAAATTAAGGGGATTTATATAGTCACCGAATAACTTTTTGGTTATCTATATTTCTTTATTATATAATAAATATTTAATATAATTGCATTGCTAATAAAAGAATTTATTAGCATATTAATTTGTTTAATTTTATTGGCATATTAAAAGAATTTATTAAAGAGATTTTTTATTTTATGTAATTTCAGGTTTTTATTTTAAAATAATTTAAAAACTCCAACTTGAAACTACTCTCCAATTTGAATGGACAGTATTTTTTAATTTTTATTTTTTTAAATATATATTTTATTTTATTATTTTATAGATATTTAAATTCAAAAATAATAACCAATAACTAAATGTTAACTACTTATGTCATGCGACTTTTTTCTAGGCTGTCACTTGGCTTAAGGTGATGACTTTTTCCTCTCCTTTTAATAATATATAGATATTTTTTCGGTAAATGGAAAATTAAACCCCACCCCATAAAATTTACTCAAACGTCTCGAAAAATGGAATCGTCATCTTTCCAAGAATCTCTATTAGTTCTCGAGTCACTATCCATGGCGTGTTCTTAGTAGGGCTGGGCATATATCGGGTAAAACTAATAATCCGAACCGTTAATTATTTATTGGATTATTGGTATCGGTTTATTGGGTTAACGATTTAGAATATTTTCACAATTGGGTTATCGGTTCGGACCTCGGTTTGTCAATTTTGTTAATGGGTTAACTAATAACCTAATAAGAATTAATAAAATTATGACTTTACCCTTAAGTATATATAAATGCTAGTACTTTAGTTCATTCTCTCCTATTCTATTTCAACCTCATTCTTCAGTTGCTTCATCTTCATTCTTCATAGACCTTACTAGTTACTCCTAGCGTAAGTCTTAGTCTTATACATTAGACTTTTAATTTCTATAACAAAATTCATCTTCATATAGGGATTTCTCTATGGTTTCTTTTTTTTAGGTTAGATATTTGACAAACAACATCTAGTTTATCTTGTACTGTTTGAGGGCTTCAACGCTTGTGGAAGTGCATGTATTGTGTGAAATAAAAAATTTAAATCAACTTTTGTTGTTATCATATCGGAGGAGGCAGCTAATGCCTTCGAACATTTTGTGGGAATTGCTGCAGTTTGATAAGTATTTATCCACTGATTTTTTGGTGAAGCCTATAAGGATTGAGTAGTTGTTGTCTTGTTAACTTGAATTTGAACTGTTAGTACTATATATTTGGGCTTGTTAATTTTAAGGTGAAATTGCTACTACTCTGTATTATTATTAATGTATTTGGACAACTATTATTGAAGAATTAGTACTATTTCAGTTGTGGCCACTGGACAGAATGCAAAAATGAGTAGCACACTATATGTGAATTCTTCTCTTTTTTGTTTAACTCCAGTGAATTATCTTCTCTTTTTTTGCTTAACTCTAGATTCAGTTATCTTATCGGGTAAACTGATAACCGAACGGATAATGATCGATAATTGATTAACCGACACTTGATAACCAATATCTTATCGGTTCGATTATCGGTTTAAAAATTTGTAAACCGATAACTGATATGATAAACCGATAATATTCATAACTGAACCGAACCGACCGATGTCCACCACAAGTTCTTAGTTTCACGTGCATCTTTTTCAATCTTTAATGGGATGATATTGTAAACCGGGGCGAAAGCACAAGCCGAGCTACAAGTTCGGGCGAACCCAGTAGCTTTTGCTCAAGTAATGTATTTGGTGTTTAAAATTTATTATATATATATATATATATATAATCCAGTCATTAACATTTGAAGTAATTGTTCTAAAATCCAGAACCCAGAGGGTTGGAATACCGATTTCGCCTCTAATTGTAAATTGTCATTGGCTGAAAAATTGGAAGAAAGATCAAATTGGAAATTGGGAGAAAATTTGAGCGAGAAAGCACGAAAAATATATTTTTCTGTTAAAATTGATTTCTGAACATTACACGTGGTGTCTATTTATAGGCTGTTACATCAAAGAGTAGCATATGCTCAAATAACTAAACTGAAAATGCACAATCGCTGACCTCAACTGCAAATGCGCTGCAACTTCACATACCTTGATTTGAACTAGGGTGTTGAAATAAACCAAAACTATTAAATCGAACTGAAAATCACGCTAAAACCCTATGAAAAAGTCAATTCAAGTTATAATATTCTCAAGTTAAAATCTGACTATTTCTATTCCGAGTAGCACCTAAGAAAGCACATACTACCAAAGCGATATCTCCGTAAACACCCAAAGTCGCATACTAATTAAAAGTGAAAAAACAACAATATAAATATGCTTACAAAGCCAAGAGCCACTCATTTGCGCCAATTGATTTAATTCAACTATTGCGTAAATCTTTGATCTGCCTCTCACTATCATGTTTGGCTAATTCCATTAGGCAATACAAGTACTCCTATTGATATATACATGCTATTTGCTATTTCTATAAGGGTTGTTCGTCTTTAGACGGCTTGGCTTCTGCTATTGCTCGTAATGATCGACATCATTCCTATCATGCTAGAGTCCCTATTATTTGGAGTTAGAAGCTTCGTTAGAAAGCAAGCGAGGTGACATCCGTCTGCTTCATAGACAAGGCTCGTTACATACTTACAAGCTCGTTTAGTAATCATCCTCATCTCTGAGCGCTTAAGCATTCCTCTCATTGTCAACTAATTAAACGAGAGTCGGATTGAATGAGCGAAGCCCTCAATTTAGAGGCTTCTCTCACCCTACTCTTTCATTTCTACATAAGGTTTCCCCATTTGTGGGATTAATTGATTGGATACGGAGACACATACCTCTACTCTTTCATTTCTACATAAGGTCCCCCATTTGTGGGATTAATTGATTGGATACGGAGACACATACCTTTACTTGGAATAGGTACTAGGACGATAGGCATAAATATATTATTTATTCCACAAATCTCATTATAATGACCATAGTAATCCTAAAAAAAAGTTAACATATAAATTTACTTAGACTTGACTTACTATGGTGTTAAAAAAATAGACCATATTTTTCATGCCTCCCCAGGTTCGGGGCGTGACAAAGATAAGTGTGGTGTACAACACACCCATAAACAAGACTCTACTAGACACGGTCTGTATGTATATAGGATATGGGAAAGGTTATGGCGTTATATACGCACCACCACCTGATCAACTGGTATACGATAATAATTTTGCCCATAGTGGCTGAGATGATATGATGGGATGCCCTTAGAGGCTTTATGATGTTATGTACGTACAGACCTATGCATTACATGACATTCATACGCATATGCATGATACTATAAGTATTTCATAATTTACAGAGCTATCCAGACTTACAGGCTGAGTCCTTTACTCCATGTTTCTTCCATGCTCTTTATATATGTATTTGCATGTCTTACATACTCAGTACATTATTCGTACTGGCGTCTTTTTGTTGGGGATGCAGCATTCATGCCTGCAGGTATAGATAATCAGTTTGACGAGCCCTCATAGTAGACAAGATTGGCATTCAACCAAGGATT